TCTCTCTGTCACCTAGACTGGAGTGCAGTGGTGTGAGCTTGGCTCACTGCAGCCTCAGCCTCTCGGGTTCAAGTGATTCTTCTGCCTCAGCCTCCCAAGTAGCTGGGACTACAGGCATGCACCACCACGCCCAGCTAATTTTTCTATTTTTAGTAGAGACGGGGTTTCACCATATTGGTCAGGCTGGTCTTGAACTCCTGACTTAGTGATCCGCCCACCTCGCCCTTCCAAAGTGGTGGACACCCAGCCTGAATACTGTTTTCTATAATATGTCCCTCGCTTTCTCTTTTCTTCCCTTCCTCCTTCCCTCCCTCTTTCCCTCTCTCTCACTTCTCCTATCCTCCACCCCCCCCCCCTTTTTTTTTTTTTTGGCATGGGAAGGTGATGTGTCACACAACTGGAAAAAGTATCTTACCTCTCACCTTCTATCTGTCTTACCTGGTTTGAAATTGTTCTTGGGAAAAAAAAATATTTGTAGACAAAGAAGGAACCAGAGGTTTGTTTGGTTTTTGCTCTTTGTTCCCCACGTTTACCTTTTAGAAAAATTCATATAATAAGAAAACTAATCAGAAATTATTTTTTCTAAAATACCCCCTGAGGGTATGACCTAGGGACCCTGCCTGTTCTATCACTGTCACAGTGTCAGGCACCAAAATAAATATTTAGAGAAGGAAGCCAATACTGGGCTTGGGAGCCAGCAGGTTAGGGTTCCCACCTTCTTTTGTAGTGATCAAGCTATGCATGGAAGCTCCTCTGTGAAGTAGAGCTACTGTGGCTTACTTTTCTGGACCATTGTGAGGATTACTGTTAATGTGTGTAAATTAACTAGCCTAGTGTCTGTTGGGTAGCAAAGTCTCAATAAACATGAGCTGCTTTTGCTATTAATTACATAAAAGCTTTGGTCTGATGACCTAGAAGCTCTGCAGCACTTTCCACTCCTTTGGTAACAACATACCTTTGGTTCTATTCAACAATCCTATATATGTAAGAAGGATTTTTCAACAAGGTTGTAACATTCAACAAGTTCTTAGCAGTTTGACCCTAAGGCTGGAGCGTACTTATTTGTCTGCCAGATTTACAGGTAAAATGAACATGAACACTTTGAAGAATAGAGACAATTTACATATAAGGAAACTTCTATACTGAATATGGCTTTAAAGAAGTTACATTATGAATCGAGAGAAGTGATTTTCTTTTATTTATTTTTTTTTTTTTATTTTTTTTTTTT